TCTCTAAAAAGAGCCGGAAATCCCATCACTAGTATCTAAACAATCCGGCTGTAACCTTTTTTGAAAAGCAAAGGGTGTGGGAAACGACAATAGGAGCCAAGACTAAACTGGAAGGGTTGCAAGATGATGATTTCTTTTGTTGATTATTTTTTTAATCAAAGCATGAAAGGCGTACATTCTTGATTTATTTCTCTTTTAAATTCTGCTGTGTGGTTTTTTTCTTACTGTTATAGCAACTAAAGAGTCTACATGCAAAAATATATAATTAATACCACACCCATTAGCACCACCAGCAGCATAAAAGCCTAAAATGACATCAAGAGCCCAACCTGTAACCAGCTATCAGGATATTGATGAGTTAAATGGTTCTGCTCATCCCCCCTTCCCCCCGGATCCTGCAGGCTCTGCTGACCTCTTTGTGGATCCATAACGTGGTCAAAGTCACACTCCTCTACTGGTCGCAGTGGCTGTTATATCACCATGGAAACAATGACATCACTGCAGGATGGGGCTGATGCATGCCAGGGAACATGTACTGCTGTGATGAGGTTGGGGGCTGAAAATAAAGGGTGCAGAAAGCCAGCAGTCGCTTTCAGTTAAACTCAACCCTGAATTGCCTTAAAAGGGGGAACATCAGTTTGCAGGTGTGGGTTACTTAAAATGAACTGCATAGCACACATTAATGAACTTACTGTTGTCATTGTTTTTGAGTGAGGAGCATTTAGATTACATAAAGTGAATATATTGTCATGGTTACTATGATGATGACTAAGCACCTGTATGGGTTTGTTTGTGTGATGAACGCATATCAGTTCAGGCTACATCGTGTTTCGGTGACAGCTGCAGCAGGCAATGTGTTTAACTAATGCACATATGTCCAAATTTGAAGGATTTTTTTCAAGCTTGGAGAAATTTTGGAAGGGTCAAGGAAATTTGCTCAGAAATTACTAACAGTAATAATAAGTTAAAGTTAAGTTAAAACCTACCAAGTATAACTTGCATACACCAGTTAGACATCACATTATGACCATTGCGACAAGCATAAGGATTTGAGCAAGTCTGACAAACTGGCCAGATTGTGATAGCTAGATGAATCGTTCCGAGCATCTCCGAAACTGCAGCTCCTCTGGGTGTTCCCAGTCTGCAGTGATCAGTTTCTGTTGAAAGTGATACAAGGAAGGAACAGCACTGAACCAGAGACAGGGTCATGGGTGGCCACAGGTCAACGATGCACATGGGCAGCTAATGCTGGCCCGTATGGTCTGATCCAGCACACAAGCTACTGCATATCAAATTGTTCATCACAGCTTGTTGCAGAAGAACGTGCATAGCCACAGATCAGTCAGAGTGCCCACGCTAACCTGTATCCACCACAAGTTCCCACAATGGGTACATGAGCAGCAGAACCGGACCATGAACGATGGAAGAAGATGGCCTCGTCTGATGAATCAGGTTTTCTTTTACATCATGTGACCGGCAAGTGTCATGGTTTGAAAACTATGGGTCCTCCCATCCAGGTGGCTGTTACTTTGACACGAACTATGTATCTAAGCACTGTTGCAGACCATGTGCACCAGTTCATGGAAACAGTACTCCCTGCTGGCTGTGGACTCTTTCCACAGGATAATGCACCCTGCCACAAAGTAAAAATGGTTCAGGAATGGCCTCAAAATTCCCCAGATCGCAATCTAATCTAGCATCTGTGGGACGTGCTGGACAAAAGTCTGATCCATGGAGCCTCTATACCTCAAAACTTACAGGACTTATCAGTCAAATCAGTCATCCAGTGTTGTTATATTGTCCTCTTTAGTAAGTATGTGGACATGTTGAAAAGTTTATTGGTAAAACTGTATATATGAACCCCAATCATTACTGACAAATTAAAGAGGTTTAAGGAGAGTTTAAGGAGGTTATATCCTAAAGTACCACAATTTTACAATCCCTTTTGAGGAACAACTTATCAGCGGTGGGGAGGAAGAACTCCCTTTTAACAGGAAAGAGTCCTTCAAGAAACCCAAGAGCTCGGGGAGGGGCAGCCATCCACCATGACTGGAAGAGCGTGATGGGGAAGAGAAGAGAAAAAATAGAGCACCGAGACACGAGGCAGCAACATAAACGACGTTTTAAAAAACTAAGTAATCGTCAATTGTTGAGTTTTATGAGTCGATAAAAATCTTATTTTACCATGTATGAGTCTAGCTCATCTTCTTGGCAGGAGATACATGGACAGATCTGGATCTGTGACCAAAGAAAGGGAAGGAGGCCCGGATACAGTCACTTAGATCTCTTGAAGCAGTTATTTGATAGGAATGCAGATACATAGTGATGTAAACACACCAAAAAGAAAGGCTGGTGACATTAGTTTTTGATACTCAGGTTATTGTTTAATGTATTAATAAATAAAAAGTAGGACACAAACAACCTTGAGCTTTTTTACAGTTTCATTATCACGTGATTTAAAATATTTAATGTATTTTTAATTGGAATATTTTTTTACTGAGTAATATCAACATTATCTAGAAAATAGTGCCTCTGAAAGAAGTGCTAATATAATCTCAGTGCACTTCTACCCTAGTTATTACGGCACTTAATCTGTAAGGAGTGGATATCACCCCTGCCTCGTGTTCACGGCTGTGAGTTTGTGTGTGCGCGTGCCTTGCTCATTGTGCTGCTCTCCAGCATTTACACAGTTCATTCACACTTCGCTGAAGGCACTCATTACGCTTCATACCCCCCCAGCCCCCCGCCACATGTTTTGCTGAGTCAGCAAAACATAATCTGTCCATCTGCTGCCAGAGGAGGAAGCCACTGGATTCTGGGTTGATTACAGATCACGGGAAACTTTTTTGTCCTTTAGTACTTCACAGTTCTTCTGTTCAGTGTGACAGTCAGCCATCATCCAGTGCACCAATGCGCGTGTAACAAGCTGATTTGCTTGAAAAAAGGCACGAACAATAGATAAAATATCTATATCTCTATAATGCGTTCATCTCATACAGATATTCAGTAGATACTATCGTGAGATTAGTCTGCTCGAAAGCAAATAGAAGAGATTAAATTATACTGTTAATCTGTGGTGTGGTGTAGAAAATCTTACCTAGTGACCGTGCTGATCCTAGCTGCAAACACAAAGGTTCTCCAACACACACACATTCAAACACACACTCGGCCTCTCCCACAGAGGATTAAGGCCAGGTTGGCCTACTGAGACAGGCTGCCAGAGATTCCATCCTCCATCCTAAATGGATGGTGACATTCCGATGTGAGTGGCGCTCTACGGAGGCATGATGGGTGACCCAGATTGGGGTGGGGTTGGAAGGGGGGATGAGGTGCAGACAGGGAGGGAAATGTGGTGGGATTAGAGCTTGGGTGGTGTGATGAGATGCTGGGGGTGGAAGGTAGAGAGGAGCGCAGCAGGGGGTCATGAGAGCGAGAGACGATGGCAGTAAAAGAGGAAAGAAAGACGAAGAAGAGAAACCCGCTCATGTCCAATTAGCCTCAGGCCTGCTGCCACACCTTCTCTTCTTCTTCTCTGTGAGCGATCACGCTGGAACGTTTCATTTAAGGCATCAAACTCGAGATGTGATGGAATTTGACGGATCACTTTTGACTCCTAGTGCTGTTGAGCTAACCCTCTAAGCATTAGAAAAATGTGATGGTCCTCATGCTGTGCTATTGCTGTTAGGATTGTATCTAAAAAATGCCTAAAAATATAAAGATCAAACTTCATTTTGTTGTACTTTGTCTGTTCAACCCTGCAGAGTGTATTTCTTAAAGTATGTTGTGTCTTAAAAGGGAGGGATTGCTGTGGGAAACATGGGAGGAAAACCGTTATAGGGCTTTTCATCACTGCAGAATACGCCTCATTTAATCTTCTAATCTTTTGGTGTTGTGGTTGGAAAATAGCCACTGCAGACTTTATCCCTTTCTAACACAGTAAGACTGGTAAACAACCAAGGGGAACCGGTGCGAGAGGGCAATGTCGAATCATGTCAAGTGTACGAGGATGACAGGGTATGCCTGGAAAGCAAGGTCTGGAGAATTGGCAAAGCCAAACAACAGAAAAAAATAGACAATTTGGCGTGACTTCAGTATAAAGTGTTACTTAAGTCCAAAGGTCACAGAATAAATTAAGTATAATTCTAATCTGGGTATTTAAAAAAATCTGAATTTGCTTGGTTATACACTCACCAAACACCATATTAAGACCATATTAAAGTAATAGCATCACAGAGTTGTTATTTCCAACTACTCATTCATGATGAGAATCTCCAACTCCACCACATCCCAAAGATGCTCTACCAGACTGAGATCTGCTGACTGCAGGGGCCATTTGAGTACAGTGAACTCTTTCTGACACCTGATGGGTGTGTTATGGGTACACTGTGGACATAAATGGATGGACATAGTTAGCAGCAATACTCGGGTAGGGTGTGGTAATTAAAGGATGCTCAGTTGGTACTAAGGAGGCCAAAAGGTGCCAAGAAAATATCCACCACATCATTACACCACCAGCCTGAATCGTGATAAGGCAGGATGGATATATGCTTTTATGTTGTTTAAATCAAGTTACATCTGAATGTCACAAAAATTGAGACTCACCAGACCAGGCAACAATTTTCCAATCTTCTGTTGTGTAGTTTTGGCAAACCTGTGTGAACTGTAGCCTCAGTTTCCTGCTTAGCTGACAGGAGTGGCACCCAGTGTGGTCTTCTTGAGATGCTCTTCTGCATGCCTTGGTTGTAATTCTGAGTATTTGAGTTACTGTTACCATCCTATCAGTTCAAAGCAGTCTGGCTATTCTCCTCAGGATATTTGCTCTTTCATACCATTCTCTGTAAACTGTAGAGATCATAGTTGAATTGAGGATGCAGAATGGAGAACAAATCACCTTTCTTCCTCATTTTGATGTTCAGTTTAAACTTCAGCAGGTTGTCCTGACCATGTCTGGATGCTGTTTAGAAGCACACCAATCCACACGCATTTCTTGAATGTCTTTGCTGTAATTTTATTTATCAGTATCCTTCAGAAGTATGGAAAAAATACATGTTCTGCTCCTAAGGTCAATGTGTAATTTAATAGTACTGCAAACAGGCAGTACTCTTTAATTGAAGATTTTAATTGGCCCAAACTCTGTAAATTAACCTGTTTTTTACTCAACGTCTTTATTTAAACAGCCAGGGTTTATGGCATTCCTTTGCAGGGATAATGTGTGAATGCCAGGTGTGGCACAATATTGCTGAAAAAGAAGCTAAAAGCAGGTCAGAGCGGTTCTGAACCACCATGAGCACCATGTGGCTGTCAGCGCACCAGTTTTCTTCCTTAGCAACAGCTGGGACTAGACTGAGCCCTGGGCTGAGATTTTCAGTCTCAGACAGTTTGGCCTAGTATCTTTGAGTGTCAGTAGGTCTTCCTCCTACTCCTTCTTCATCTCTTTCTCTCCCTCTCTGTCTGAGCCTCACACTGCAGCAGACATTAGCCCCGATCACTGCGGGCCTGTCATCATGCTGCAGTGTGGGAACGGAGACAGGAAAGGAGTGAGGATGAGGCGACACAATCGCTGGTGTGATGGTTATTTTTATTGCATAGTTTGGGGGTATAATAGATGTATTAACATTCTGCTGAGAGTCTGACTGACCGACCCATCCACCCGCCTGCCTGCATGAAGGTTGTGCCTCAGAAGGGAGAGGAAGAAGAAATTAGTCTTCTTGTTGGTTTGTTATGATGAAATAATTTGCAGCTGCTTGTTTATAATGATCCTGTTTAGGGAGGCTGGCAGTCACGGGAGGCAACATTATGTGTTTGCTCTGGAGGGTAAAACATAGCTTTAAGTGAGGCTGCGTGCTTGATTAAAACGTAGATACTTCAGCAGCACGTACTTGAATGCAACAAAGCTTTTTGTTATTGTAATTGGTGGAAATGTGCTCGCTGTGTTATATTCCGAGATTTGTGCCCATACTGAGCACTTGTTTGCTACTGAATAGGGTGAGCCTGTCAAACCCATCTGCCGGACGCCCTCCCCACCTACCCTTAAGGCCCGTTGTGGTTGCCATGGTAACAGCCTCCTTATGGGATATCAAGGGTGTGTTCAACCACGGTGTCATAGCCTCTCTGCAGCAGAGTGTCACATATTTTGGATTAAAAATTGAGAGAATTTGTTTGTTTTTTACAAATCACCTGCTTTTTTTTTCCATCCCTGCACTCTGTGGGGCAGAGGGGGGGAGGCAGAGGGGGTTAATCCAAATAATCGTACAATGAAGGCATGTATTTTATCAGGCGGTGTTGCCTTATACACCTTTATGATAAAAGCAAGACCAAACAAAGAAACTAATGAATTGTGACCAATGAGATGCACATATTCTCCCTCCTGTCTCAGCACGTGGATGCTGAGACAAAGGCCGGCCGGTAAAGGATCAGCGTAGCACACTGCTCCCTCTAGTGGCCAATTCTGTAAACTTCACCACGCAGGGGGTTTCCTCCTTCTTATTGTTGCAGCAAAGACTCATCTCTGCCAAGACTCATCTGTTTATTATTATTATTATTATTATATAATACGTTGTCTTTTCTCCCGCCCCCCACCCTTAGACACAACAGGTGACCCTTCCCCTCCCCGGTTTCCCAGCAGGCATGGCAGACGGTCAGCAGCCAGAGGGGCACTGGGCCTCCAACGGCCAGGAGAATGGCGAGAATGGCTACTCCGCCTACAGCTCGACCTATAGAGAGAATGGATACCACGGGGGCGGGGCGGCTGCGCATCCTGGGACGTCAGGTAGGCGCGCGGTGTGTTTGCGAGCGTGTGCAAAAGCATGTGCATGCAAAGTTGTATCAATGGCATTGATTGGACTGCCTGCACACACCACCAGATGGGTCTACAGCTGTGAGGATTGTGATTGGCTCCATCATGCTGGGCAAGAGCAGTCAATCCCATGAAGGCACTTGAACAAATTAAAGTGCTGAACATGGACAGTCTGCTGTAGCTGTGTTAACAAAGGCAGAAGGACATTGGGGAAGGTACAGTGATGGCTCTCTGGTGGGTGTAAAATTGGTGATTCCCATAGGGTGTTAAGTGGAAGGATCAGCTCAACTCGTCTGACAAAGTAGAATTACAATAAGATTTAAGAGAGCAGTGGACCGGATTGAAATTGAGCACAAAAGTTAACAAATATCAAAAAATGAAAGTAGCCAAAAATGGGGAAAAAGTTATCAAAAAAGTTATGATTATAAACCTACTAGGCTATAGATAAACTGTCTCGAACAGTTATAATCATCATCATCAATCAGCAAATGCACAAAACTGAAGGGTTAAATTATTATATAATTGCAGTATATAATTATACTGTGAAGTCTTGAGCCAGCCTCTTTTCTTTATATTTTACTAGGAGAATGGGAAATAGGTTCCATCCATACTTCCATGGAAATGCAGTAAAGTTTCTAATGAGCTTGAAAGTCGATATTTGGTGTGACCAGCTTTATTCTTCAGCTTTATTCTTTTCTAACATTTATGATTTTGGCAGTGAGTTTAAGATCATTGTCATGCTGAAAATGAAGCTGTTGCCAATCGACTGCTTCAATGATGTTAAGTTCCAGGCTGTGGAGAGGCCAGTCAATCAAACGATGAAGCTGCTACCAATCAGATCGTTTCCAGATTGTATTGCACAGTCAAAATCTGATGCTACTTTTCTGTGTCTACATTTTGACAAGACTTCCAACACCACTGGCTGACATGCAGCTCAAACCATGACAGAGCCTCCACCGTGTTTCACAGATGGCTGTAGATGGCTGTCACTCTCGTTCCTCTCTACTGACCTCCTCCATACATAGTCAATATTTTAGGGTTTGGGGTTTGTAAGCCTGATACTTCTTGTTTTGCCCAGTTTCTTCAATTATTTTTAAGGACACACTGCACACCATGATGAGATATGCAAAGTTTTCAAAATCTCTTTGGGAATCACATTGTTGGTGCAAAAATACTATTTTATGAGAAACTGTGTTATCTTTGGTATTTTTCAGAGATTCAACTAAAGAAATGAGAACAAATTATGTGTTTTTATGACAGGCTGCTAGTAACAAAGTGTCTAAAGATACAATTTAAAATTGGCTCTTTGCCAAGTTGTCTGTTATATGTAGACACAATACAACTGGTTCATTCCTTGAGTGTTTTATGCTCGAATGATTCACAGGTCAGTGTAAGTGGCTAGCAAACAAAAACATTCCTCTTAAAATGGTCAGGTACAACGGCTGGACTGAAAACGAGTGGAAAAAGCAGCCAATGTCCAACTAATCACTTGAAAGTCCTTCAGAAAACCTGGAGAACTATTGTTCAAGAGCCCTTTAAAAATAAAAATTAAGTCTGGCTCCATTCGAAGCAAAATATAAAGAAACAAGGGGTGGCTTTAAGAGTTTTGCAAAGCACTATACATTGTTTAAAGTGTCTATTCTCAACCAAATTAGTTGGCTGCTAAAAAAAAAAAAAGACAACATTAAAGAGACAGCATTACATCTACATGGAAACACCATCAAGATCCACTTCTCTGCGGTCCAGTGACTGCATGATATCAGGGTTCCAGCAATGTTTGCTGCCAATAAACAATTAAAGTGTTTACTAAAAGCATTCATAAAAAGTTGAGCTGAATAAATAAATACCAAGAAAACTGAATGAATAAACCCTGAAAACAGACAGAAAAAAACTAGGCAAGAAATAAGCTTGTAATTTAGATAATGCAGTGCTACAACACCATGTTAGAATTTAAATGAGAACCAACAATATTTATGCCATCGTCTAACAAGTGCATTTGGAAAGTTTATGACGTGTTGATCTTGGGTGTATTCTGCCTTATAAAGCTTAATAAAATGTTTTTAAAAAAGAGTTTCTCTGCATCATTTGGGTAAATTAGTGACTCTGTTTGCATTTATCCTCAATGGGCAGCAAACAAAAGGCCCAACTTATTAAATCTCAGAGAAAGCGTCTAGTCTTGTGCTGAGCACTTACCATTCATGAAGCACACACAACCTGCCAAGATCTGAATTCAAAGGGAGACCTCACAAAGAGATAAGGTCAGCAGAGTGAATCGCCTTCATTTCCTTCCTCCCATCCACGTCTTGTCTTCCCGGTGTGTGTCTCTCTCTCTCTCTCTCTCTCTCTCTCTCTCTCTCTCTCCTTCGCAGTGGATGACTCAGCCAATTTGCCTCCCTCCCCTCCCCCCTCTCCATCCGCTGAGCAGATTGGGCCCGTGGCACAAGGTACACCTATACACACTTAAAGCCAATCCAGGCTATCCAGGTTGACGGTGTGAATGGCTGTGAGAGTGGCACAAATGTCTCTAAAAGACACCCAAACACACTTGTCCCTAGGATTTAAAGACAGGGCACCCTCTTCCTCCTCTCTCTCTTTCCTTTTCCCCCTACCGTTTAATTTCACGGTGCTCTGTCTGCATGCCAGCTGATTGTCATATCATCTTTAAGGAGTTTGGAGCATGCATAGCATGCCGCCCTGTCCTGTCCACACTCCTGCATTGGTTTTAAAACACATAACAGTTAGTTGAGTCGTGAACCCCGCACACAAGGACTAGGCAATACAAACACTCTTCCTCCATTCAGGCAATGGTACATTACCAGCCACTGGAGTCCTTCATTTCATTAGTCTGCTTTCCACCCCTCAGCATCTCCTCCGTTGTTCCCTATCTCACTCTGTGTATTGATTTTTTCCAAGTCTGACTTTCAGCTCTTTAACATATCTGTGTGTTTCTTCTTGACATGTGGCATGCAATTACAAAAGTCTAGCGTTGTATAGTCTCACTGCATGGTTTAGGGTTAGTTCTCTGAAATTTAGATCTGTGGTGCAAAATAATAATCATAATAATGAGATATGCTCATAGACTGTATTAAAAAGATTGAAATAGCCACTTTGACAGCTGGTTTGTGAAGTAATGCTTTTTTTTCAGTCATTGCCATCTTAGATTTTTGAAACCTGAGGTGGCAGAGAATGAATCTGACTCTGAACCACAATGTAGGCCCCACGCTTAATCATACACTGATTTCGTGTAATGTTGACTTTAATGGCTTTTCTACTCAATAAGAATTTAAGCTAGTACATGAGACGCCACACTCTTCAGGAAAATGTCTGTTGGGGTTGTAAAAGACGTGACAAATACGGTTGTTATTGTTCCATCTGCTAGACGAGTCGCCCCCTTCTGGCCAACAGGTTTAAAGTTATACTATCTAAAATTTGTACCGCTAGATCTCAGTAAATTGTAGATTGCAATCAAGGATTGATATAGGACAAACATGTTTTAGTCATCAAAGACAGATAAAAAATGTTAAAATTAGACTGTACCCCATAACCGACGAGGCTGGTCGACATGTTTCTGCTTCTGTGTGTGTAAGAAGTGCAATGTTGTACACACTATATTTTAAGATACTTGAATAATATCAACACTTAGCAATAAATAAGGAAAAAGAAGGAAATCTAATACAGTCAATAAACAATCAGTTAAATATTTTGTAGTCACCTCAAAAGATTTGTCCACTGTTCACCTGTAGTAAGTGTTCTCACATGGCAAAAGCAACTCTGGACCAGATCGCCCCATGGTGTAGGCAGTTAGGCCACTGTTTACCTCAGCTGTCAATGCTGGGTGAGAGGCATCGTGCTTTATTTACTTTGAAGGAGGCTGTAAAACTTTGTGAAAGGAGTTCAATACAGGTCAGTGAATCAAGGAAGCTCATTTCTCTCCAATGACAGTGATACTGAGGTCAGTTATTGAGGATATCCTGAAATTTTATGTTAGTGAGTGCTGCTGTTAGCCTCACTTAGCCGCTATTAGCCTCTGTTACCTGCTGTTAGTGAAACTTTCTTTGAAGTGAATGTAACATTGTTGGACTCGGACACTTAGTGAATAAACTCTCATACAATGTAAGAACCTAATCAAACTGTTAATCAGAAGGAAAGTGTGAGTTTTATTAGCCTATAACCAGCTGTTGTTATTTTTAGCCAGCTCATTATCAGGTGTGGCCAAATATGTAAACCGTTCTTCCTAGCAACTGCATTTAAGATGGTAGGGTGACATGGCAGCTTCCACAAACCAGCACCCAGTCACATGTACTTTTAATAGCTTAATAATAACTTATCTATGTATATTTATAAGTACAATATCCCTTTTTTATATTAAATAACCTCAAAATACAAATACTGGCTTAACTTTAAGGCACTTTTCCGACACAGAGGCTATGCCCATCTTTTTTACGTACCGTCTATGAATAAAAAGACAGATGGCTTAGAGTTTTATTAAGGATTAATAAACTGTTATATACTATTGTAGTAAGATGCTGTAACCGCTTCTACATCTAGTATACAAACCGTTAAATATTATGTATTTAATTATAAAGACCAAGCTAGAAGTCATGTCGATTGCATCCCATGCATCTCCATCAGAGCTGAAAGTATCTTGTAAACCATGTAATCCCAGTTTTGTCATCCTCCATGTCTCATCTATGCGTCTTCCTTCCCTGCCCAAAGATGATAAAGTAGAGGTTGTCAGTCAACAGCAGGATGAGAAGGAGGAGGCTCCAGAGGAGCTCAACAGTCACCAAGAGGATGTGACATATGAGCAGCCAAGAGATTTGCTCTTAGAACAAACAGATTATTTAACAGAGCCCCAGGCTTTGGGCTTCCAGCAAGCCCAAACCCCTGAGGCCCTCAATGGAGGAAGTCATCAAGGTGATCACAACCCATCACAAAAAGGTGTGTGTGGTTTTCTGTGTGTGCATACAGTTTGTGTAAGGGTACAGCGTGAGTGTACGTCTGCCCGTAACCTATTTTGCATGCTCCTCTTGTGTTCTGTAGCGGGTTCAAAAACTCTTAATGAACTGTAATGCAACTGAGGCTTTGCTGCCAGCCTTCCTGCAGCTTTGTTGCTCTGAAATCCTTAAGCTTCCGCTTCAATACCTGAAGTTGCAAAATGACGTGGCAGCATTTTGAGTTTGTGCTTTTTCATCCAAAATATTACCATTTGCTTTCCATCGGAGCGGCATCAGAACGCCCAATCAACCATATTACAGTTGATCCATTTCTGCACCTTTGTATTGCCAGCTACATTGCAAATGCAAATATCATTGTCTAAACTGTAAAGCCTTGTAGATGTAATTGTTGCTAGAATTATTGCTCTTTATATTTTTTATGTGGGTTTTGCTGGAATATTTGTGTGTGAAGCAGCTGTTTTTGAGAGTACCCACCTGTATGGGTGCCTCACAAATCAGTCCTGAATGTATTTTGAGTCTGTTGTATCACTGCTTTCAGTTTCGCTGTTGTTTTCATTTCATCCCAGAGCAAAAGTTAATTTCCTATTGTTGCTAAAAACACACTTAGGATAATAAGATTCACCCTCATTGCTCATCACTATTGTGAAACTTAATAAAGATTATATTGCAAATATTAGTTTTATAATTTGTTCACTGTAACAATTCATTCATATCCACAGTATGCCAATGTTTGCAGTAGAAATTGCAGTAACACCATTTATACATCAAATAAAAGTAACTTATTTTGATCACCATGTTGATGACCATATTTTATAAATCCTCCTGTATTGCAATAGGAATTCAGTGTGTTCGGGTATCATTTTCTTCTTGTCATCTAACATCATGCAACTCATTCCTTCATTCCAGTTCTGCACGCTATATTAGGTGCTGTGATCCCCCCTCTGTGCTGTTGTGGCCTGCCACAAAATACACTGTGCTGTGTGTATTGCTTGATGGAGAGCTACTGTATCTATGTGCAGACGGCGCCGGCTTGACTGTATTGGCTAGCTTTTGTGGATGCTGCAAGCAAAGCTTTTAGCTAACATGACCCGACACAAAGTTGTACAGTATCCTTCAAACTCACAGCCCAGCCAGAAGAGAGAGTCAGTAAACCATCTTGTGAGTCCACTATGACGGAAGGTGAACCGTCGCCACCTGAGAAACAAAGAGCAAAGGCAGAAGGAGAAGAACCTGCCTCGACTGGCCCTCCCCTTCTTTCTGATAGAGAGAAACCTCTCCGCTGCACTTCCTCAACAGAGCAGGGTAATCAAGACAGAGAGGGTGGGAAAGAAGAGGTCACTGACAGAAAATTACTTTCAGAGTCTAAAGAAAAAGAAGCAAAAGAAGTTGTTGTGACAGAGGCCTCATCAGAACTTATGGCAGAAGAAAAAGAAGAAGCAGGAATTATCTTACCAAGTGAGTCAGGGTCAAATATGAATGAATGCAAAGAAAAAACTGATGTTTTTGAGGCGGTCAATAAGGAGGACCAGCATGGTGCAAATGACTGTAGATTGCATGACACACCACTGCTCACTGATATTCAAAAAACAGACCTTTCGCAAGAAACTCTGACGTCAAGTCCAGAACTTGACAGATCGGATGTTTTTGTAGAGCACGTGTCAGGATCAAAAACCTACTTTGACACATCCATGGAGGGTCGAGAAGAAGAGTCGCCACAAACCCAGAGCTATTATGAGCTCAGCACAACGGCAGAGACAAAATTAAGTGGAGATGATGAAAATATTGTGCAGAATATGGAGAAACAACAAGAGCAAAATGTCAACACATCTTCTGGTAAACTGGGACTGGAACAAAGAAGTCTTTCCTTGAACATTACTGCTGGGTCTTCAGCCGGACAGACGGTGAAGGAAGAGAAATCAAGGATCTTCATGGGAAGCTTGTATCCAATCAGTGGAAGCTATGATGAATCAGAGGTTTATCCGTCAACTCCATCTGTGGTGAGCCATCCACCTACGTTTCCACCAGCTGTCTCCATTACCCCGACTAACACTGAAACACCTGAAAATATCCCCACCGTGGCAGATGAGCCCTTACCTTCTGATAAGCACACAGATAGTTCTAAACAATCAGGAAGTCTCTCTGAGATGTTGGACCTGGCTGGTGCCCTTCCTCGTCCATCCCTGGAGAGGATGGAGGTTGACTACATGAGAAGAAAGTCAGTGCCAGCCAATGTATCTGCCCTTGTGGGAAGTTCTTTAGCCAAGCTTGCCTTGACAGATCAAGCCCCAAGTGTTGTCTCACAAGAAAACCAGCTGGAGGAGGTGGGCTACTGTGTCTTCAGTGAGTATTCGGGGCCCATGCCTTCTCCCGCTGATGTACCCAGTCCCGGGGATTCTCCACACCAGCGTTTCCCTTCTGTAGAGGGGGAAGTAGAGGAGGATCTAGGGGATTTGGAAGCAAAAGATGTTTCAAAAGGAATACAACAACAAGATTACAAAGAGGTTACCCCTGTGATCTCTCAAATACCAGTGGTAGAAAAGAAAGGCTCACCAGTAAAGTCTACCCTGATCCTTGAAAAAGCTGTAACCAGTGGAATGAAACCGGATCGGCTAAGAATCCCAATGACTACCTCGAAAGACAGACTGAGTGAATTTCGTTTGGAGACTGGGTTGCCAGGGAACATAAAGATTCAAGCTATCCCTGAGGTAGATGTTGAAAAAGACCCATCAAGAGAGGCTTCACCTATCCCACCAGACAGTTCATTCACTTTCGCTCCCACAGAAACTGGAACCAAGGTTCCTCCAACTCCAACAACTCCCAAGTCCCCAGATGACACATTGTCAGAAACCCAAATTGCAGGAGAGAAAGCACAGAAAGATGACCCATCAGAGCTAAAAGCATCTGAAAATGTTGATAATAAACAGTCAGAGTTAGACAAAGAAAATCTGAAGCCTGAGCAGAAAGAATCTGAAGAAAGAAGTGATGAACCAGAAATGCCAAACGAAGACTTGGCTTCAGGATTATCTCAGTCTTTAGAAGAGAGCACAGACAAAGCTAAGACAATCCAAAGTGGGCAACAGACCTCAAACACTGCTCAGGATTTAATTACTACAAAGCACACAGATGAGAAAAATGACCAAAACCAGCAGCAAAAAAGCAGTCTGGTGAAAGGCTCACCGAAGCTTCAAATATCTTCTCCGATCATCATTATCCCTCAAGCACAAATAGATGAAGAAGCAGAGGAGGAAGATGATATTGAGATTGCAGAGGAGCCTCAAGAGATAATGGAAGAAGCCCAAGAGCCGGATGAAACAAGGAAGAGTCAAACTGAAGAAGCTGGGAAGGAAGAACAAAAGACAGAACAAGTGAGACTGATGGTGGGTGACCAGATGTTGGAAGAAGATCCGAAGTCTGGAGCAGAAGAATGGAGTCACAGCGCCCAAAACAGCGACGAACCTGCAACAGACAGTTCGCACTTGTCTCCCTGCTCTGACCACGAGCTGACACAGCAAACAGAGGAAGGAGGCAGAGAAGACATGGAGGCAGATAAAATAGAAGAGGACTTAGACACAGATAAGGTGAAAGGGAAGACAGACAAGTACGAAGGGGTGAAGAAAGAGGAAACAAAGGAGGAAAAGCAAGGAACGGAAGATCATAAAATGATAGAAGAAGAGGATGGAAAGAAGGTGAGGAAGGTGGAGGAGGAGACCTCGGATGTTCTTAGCCAGACCGATCAAGCACCTAACGATGACACCACCATGGACGTGTCCATCCTAGATACAGACAGTGGCTGGATGGATTCACAAGGTACCCAGAGTAAACCTGTTAATAAATCACTTGTTTAAAAAAAGATTAAAAGCCTTTAAATGTTTATTTAGTTTAATAATTTTGGTTTAAAAACTTGCTAGCACCAGAAAACTTGTTTGGAAATGTGTCTTTTGTGCTAAGCTAGCTCCTAGCTAGCAAGGAGCGTGGAGAATTAGCCCTCTGTTGATCCTTCTCCACTGCAGATGATGACAAAAGTATTATGACTGAGCAAATCGAAGCCCTTCCTCAGCCCCAGAGCTCGACCAGTAAGCCTGTGGTGGTGGACAGACCCGCTAAACGGGGCCCCGGCAGATCAAGGGCCACCACTGAGTCTAAAGTATCTCGCAAAGTACTGAGCCACCATCCACCAAGAGAGGAGATAAAGAAGAAAAAAGGTTCCCATTCTGTATTTACGCCTGAAATTTATAATCCTTGTCATCTAACCGAGGTTTGCATGTCGGTATAACCTTGTCTCTCCTCTCTGCTAGTAGGCATCAGGAGGGCTGACCAGAGTAAGGTGTCAGCCCTCCAAAGTCGTTCCCCATCTCGAAAGGGTGTAGCCAAAGCGGCGGCCAGACATCCTAGGCCTGCTCTGCTTCACGGCTCTGCTAGACGCAAGGCCACAGGTGAACACTTTTCACCCGGAGTCAGTGCCGTGGATAGAGAGAGAGCAACAACCAAATAATTAAAGCATTTTTTCAAATGTAAATCAGTTTTGGATATGTGGCGTTTGATGTCTTTGCTCTCTCTCTATTGATGGCTTATTGAGGAATCAAGCAAGGTGCAGTGTAGCTGGCAAACATCATGTGCTGCTGATTTATTTTTTAAAGTTCTGTCGTGTCTGGTCTGCTTTGGGTTTCTTTTCCAGTTTTATTTTTCTAAAAGCTTTAAACATGCTTTGTTTTTTCTCATTTTGTCAAACATGGAGTATTTGTTCCCGCTCTGCTTCAAATTCATGCTTTTATTTTTTTCTGCTCAGTGATGATGTTATTCATTGTGACTGGTATTGAATAACTCTGGTTTAACACTTGTGTGCGTGTGTATGTCTCCCGAAAATGTTTGAAGGTTGTGTGTTCTGTCAACAAGCGAAGTGAGGTTGATGTGAAATGTCGTGATACGTGTACAGAAGGTGCTTCTGTAATATGAATGTGCTCATATGTCCACTTTTTCACTTTGTATTCAGCAAATGTGCATTTGTGTGTGTCACACTGATGAACATGTTTGCTTCACAGGTGTGGAGCACCATCAGCCCCTCAGTGTGGCCCACCAGTCCAGGGAGAGGACCACTGTAAGTATAACAGCCAACGTTTATTATTTTTTGTCTTTCAATTGAAATCCTCACAAAGTTAAGGTTATTCCAAGAGTATTTTCATCATCTCTCAGTAATGTTGATCCCTAAAAGACCGCTTTCTTCTTATTGGCTACCCCTCACCTGGATTCCCGTGTGATTCCCATGTGTGCCTTTTTATTTTTGAGTTACTGCCTTCCGATAAGCTCAAATCATTCTGGCTATTCTCCTCTGACCTCTAACATCAACAAGGCATCTTTACCTGCTTGCTGGATATTTTCTTTTTTTCAGACCATTCTCTGTAAACACTACTGATGGTTGCTTGGAAAATTAGATCAGATCAGCAACCATGCCTCATTTGGAGTCACTTAAATCACTTTTCATCCCCATTCTGATGCCCAGTTTGAGCTTCAGCAGCTTGATCATATCTACAGACCTAAATGCACTGAGTTGCTCCAATGTAATTTGCTGCTTTTGCATTAACAAACAGTTGAACAGTTCTATCTAACAAAGTGGTTGGTGAGTGCATTTTCTGTACGACTTTAGGCCATGGCGTCTTCATATTTTCTGTTTTGTTTTTGGGCTTTCTTTTCTTTTTTTGCATGTCTGCTTTTCTCTCTCTCCATAATCACTTTGTCTTGCATGCTTGCTTCTGTCCTTGTGTCAGTCTCGACAGAGAAAATCTGTGAGTATAGACATCAAAAGTGCAAAAATCTTTTACATTTTACCATTAAAAACACGCGACGCAGCTCATTCAAACAATTTCAGCCAAATTCTGTTTCGTGTTCCTTTCATTTCATTCCTAAAGATTATTAAATCAAACAGAAATAATAATAATCCAATGTTCATGTGGTTCATTTGGCATATTTATAAAGACAACAATGTTCTTAGATATGTTCGGTTAAATCAAAACACACACGTACACAGACAGTCTGTTTGTGTTTGAGCCACAAATAAACACATTGCATTTTTACTCCATCCTGTCTCAACTTTTCATTTCTCCATCTGCTTGTCATGCCTGTTTTCCATCCTGAACATCTTCCACCTACCCTGCATGCCTTTCCTCCCTGTTGTCATGGTCACGGTCAAGAGCCCCACAAGGGCGGTTATATTAAAGATGGCAATGCAGCGTCGGGGGTTCGATCGCGAGCCCCCCCGGCCCGGCTCTGCCTGTAGCCTTAAACGGAGCCCCCTCGTACAGGCGGAGCTCTGCGAGGCCCGTCCCTCCTCCGCGTGCTCACGCCCATCACCTCTGTCTAAGAAATGGGTGGAGAAGGTAAAGTGAGGGTGGGGGATAAAAGCAAGGGTTGAGGGGTGGCTGTGACCAGCGTGTGCATGCCTCAGCCTGCATCTCGACTCTGCTGTGTGTCTGTTAATCCAGGAGAGAGCGTACCGGAGCCCCGAGAAGAAGTCGTCCCTCCCCAGGCCGGCCAAGTCTCTGACACGCCACATCCCGGCTGCTGAACAGGAGGACAACAGCATCCCCTCCAGGCCAACCTGTAAGAATCTCCACGGTCCAAAACCTTCAGATTGTTTGCTTCCCAGATTAATTGCTTCTTTACTCACCAGATTATTTGTATTATACTTTAACTCCCAACACCTTCCACCTCCTACCTGCTGTTTTACCCCTGATTTTCCCTTTTTATTCCCTTCTTCTGTAAAGCGTTCCGAACAGCGGACACCAGGTCTGGAAGAGCCCCTAGTATGGCAGGTAGAACACCTAGTAGATCCTTTTAGACCTTTCACACCATCTTCATCGACATCTGTTTATTAGTTTATACTGTTTATTTATGCTTGTTTGCTTTAATAACTCTAAGATAAGGACTTATATTTTCCATAGAAGAGAGCATCATTCCTTCATCCCTGCAGTAATACAGAGAAAACCCCAACGATCAGATGACCCCCTATGAGAAAGGTTTTGGCAACAGTGGGAAGGAAAACTCTCTTTTAACTGGAAGAAACCTCAAGCAGAGCTTGGCTCAGGGAGGGACAGTAATCTTCACAAAAGTTTAGGGTCACTTGATTTTGAAAGAAAAGGATATTTGTTTTTGTCTAACAAACATGAACTGGATTGGAAATGTTGCAAATGGCAACAGATATCTCTGTTTCTGTCTCAGTGGCCAGTCTTGTTTACCTCATGCAAGTTTAATGGGGCTGGATCATCAGAAAACTCTCTTCCAAATGGTTAAAAATGCAATGAATCTGGCCTTTTGGGTGTCCGGAAAGAGGTTTTCATTCAACAGTGTGTACTACCCTTTTCATAAACCAGCACAATTCAGCTGTTCTGGGTATCATTTAATCAAACCGCCAGCTGAAAACTTGTCAGGTCTGTGGATGCACTTGTCTTATTGCCTGGTTTTGTACCAGGATCTCCTCTTTCTCCTTCTCCTCTGGTACAAAGCCATCTAGCCCTGTTCCGAGAAGGGTCGAAGATGTCCCCCTTTATGTGAGACTTGTCTTCTTGTCCACATGCATCGAGACAGTGTCCCATATTTTGAGTAGCTCTACTGTACCAAAAAGTAAATAGATTTTATTTTATTTATTTATTTCCCCAAGAAAACCAAAGAGGGTAATCACACAGAACAGCAGCTGAAGTAATGTTTGATACAGGTGATCCTTAAGACCAGAAAAACTGCTTGTAAGAAGTTAAATTTAGTATGTTTGTGCCTTCCACAATGGGCCGCTGGAACATGAGACTGATCGATTGACCTCATATGTTAGCACAACACTTTGCAGTTCTGTGCAAAAGTCTTGAGCCACCCCTCGTTTCTTTATATTTTACTTCCAAGGTGCCAGACTTTTTTGTAATTCTTTTAAAGTCCTCCTGAGCAATAGCCTTCCAGGCTTTCCTAAGCTCTTGGACATTAGACACGCTTTTTATTTTTTCAAACGATGCCCTATGAGATCACAATGATTCCATAAAGATTTGCAAAACCACACACTGCATGAATGTATCCAAAAATCTCACGTTTTTACAGCTTATAGAAGCCAATTTTAGTATGTTAGTGCTTTAAGGTCATAGTTCAAAGGTCAGGGTGACACAAATTGGGAAAAAGCTTTAGTTTCCATTGGAAACAGGTATTTATAAAGCGTGTCTAAATAGGCTTTATCCACCCTGCAGTTATCTTATCAGAAAAGCAGGTGTGGATCACAGCAACAGGTGTGTTTGTTGTTCTCATGTAGGATAAAATCTTATTGGTTCTTCCCCGGTAACGCAGCAACAAGCCACCAGCAGCTAAATGAATTCAGCTGCCTGTGTTTGTGCTTTCGGGCTCCTCGGCAAACACTTGTGTGTGATCTTGGCTGTTTGCTTAGGTGGAAACTGAGCAGGTCTTTTTCAGTGCTGTGTTTCTCCTCCATCATTATCATCATAAGAAGCAGATGAAGGATCACTCCTTTCTATCCAATAGTTTGAAGGTTTTCTTTTCATTCCTCCTCCTTCATCTTCTCATTACTGCCCTCTCTTCTCTTAAGGTACAGACTCGGCGCGTTCCCGATCAGTCCACAGTGGCGCCTCCACCCCGGGCTCCTCCGCCGTCACACCCGGCACGCCCCCTAGCTACTCCTGCCGCACGCCCGGCTCGCGCACCCCGGGCAGCCACACGCCCAAGTCCTTCAGCGTCCTCCAGGAGAAGAAGGTGGCGGTGATCCGAACCCCACCCAAATCTCCATCTTCTGTCCAGCGGCAGCTGAAGGTCATCAATCAGCCTCTGCCTGACCTGAAGAATGTGAAGTCCAAGATCGGCTCCACCTCCAACATTAAGCATCAGCCAAAGGGCGGACAGGTAACAAACAGTCCTGAGACACAGAGTGACTTTTGTCTTTGCAGCACACAGAAATACAGGAAAACATCTGCAGGTAGAAAAAACACAGATTTCCATAGATTAATGATTTCTGTCCTTATAAGTATTATGTGTGTACATAATTCTGCCACATGGGGGCAGTAAAGTACAGATTTTAAAATAAAAAAAGGCTGCACAAGACTTTAAACTGCAAACCAATCACGATTTCACAGCTGTTTTTTACTTTAATTATTGTCAGTTCTTTGTATTATTTCCCTCAGTCTAAACATTTGACTATTTTTAAGAGATTTTTTAAATCCATCCTTTTGTCTATTATCATGAGTCAGTATTACTGGATGCTCTGTGAGTGAAGAGTGTAGAAATATCTTAAACAGCTCCTGCAAACCAGTAAAACAATAGGCAGCTTTAAAAGGACGGGTTTTGTCTCCTTTTTCTCTCTAGAGATGTCATAAAATGCTCAAATAGTCTCCTCGTGCTCTGCGTTTGCTCTCGTTCACTGTCTGGTGTGCCTCTAACCCACCGTCTGTGTGTCTGCCTCCCTCCGACTGTCCTCTGCCCTCTCCCTGTCCACCGTCATCTCCATCAATGAATCGTCATCAGCTGCATCCTTTCCCCTCTTCCTCCGTCTTCCTCCTCTTTCTTTCCCAACAATTTTCTCCCCGGTGACCTTCAGCTCTCCCAAAGTTTTTTTGTTTTGTTTTTGTAACATAAAGTCTTCCTCCTAAGAAAACACCGCCTCCAAGGAGCAGCCAGCCTGCAAAAGCATTTGCCCCTGAGGGAGCTGCTTTCGTCACTGTGCAGGATTTTCCCTTCCAGCTCTGGGTATTAATAATTTCAAGCGTGCAGAATTACCTATGGAGGAGTCACATCAAGGTCATAGCATAAAAATATATCATCTCTCTTCCTTTTATCCACCCTTGACTTTCAGAAAAAGATGTCTTTTAGGAACCTACGAGATAAAAATTTTAGAGGATCTCAAGGTGGCCATGCTGTTAGAATAACTGAGAGATGTTCCTTTGCACTGACGTACCCCACACATAAAATAACACATGGACTGCATGCAGATAGGAGACAAAAACCATCTCCTTGTTAATCTTTGGGTTGTAACTGATCATTTTAATGTCCTCACAGTGCTGTGTTGGTGAGGTCATTAACCCTGTGATATATGGAGGTGGAGTCGATTCACTGCCAGCTCTCCTTCCTTCTTTGGGGAGAAATGTGACAGAGGGACAGAAATTTTTAATGAGGCTCGGTGACGCACAGCTTAGCGGAGCAGCACAGGAGCGCAGACAGATATATACACCAGAAACATTAGAGGACCATTTTCTATCTTTTCATATTAGCTTCTGCTCACAGAGAAGCTTTTCTTCCACACAAAATCACTCTATTTAGACTGAAGTCTACAGGAGCTAGAATGACTCATGGGTCAGTGTTAAGTGGCTCATTCCTTTGAAAATTGTCCGGTACAAGGACTGGACTCAAAACTAAGGAAACACTTTAAGAGACCTGAAAACAGTAAATGTGGTATTTCTGTTTTTTTAGTATTGTGATTTTCCGAGTTTACATAATTATTTCATGTTTTTAAAATAAACCAAACAGGGCTGTCATTGGGTTCAGTTCATTCGCTCTGTCATTGGTCGACCTTGCAGAAAGGCTGAAACCTCTGAGCTGAAACAGCCACAGAAGGAATGAGAAAGATAACCTATAAACACAGCACATGTTGTTATATGTGAGAATACATCAACATCAGAGCTGTCGGAAAAATCCAGGTCAGTTCAGTGGAGACTGAAGGAGGAGGCTGGTTCTCACAGCTCTCATGGGTTTTCTCTGAACCCCTTTTTCTCTTTTTCCTTTCTCTTTATTGTTTGTCTTCACCTTCTGAGTCTTTGAACTGGAGCACAGTCCCCCTTTTCATTATTTTATTTTATTTTTGCTGTACAAGCAACACAAAGAATGATGGACAAAGCAGAAACACTCTCACTGGTTGTGTTAAATCCAATTTATTACTGTTTACTGGGTTTTTACTAATGCAGGGGAAAAAATACGTTTTCTTGTTTTCTATTTGCAGATTTGATCCCCATCATATTTATAACATCTTGATCGTTTTATTGAGCATCAGTCTGAGCATCTCTCAGGAAAGAAACTCAATTTTTCAGGTTTTCTTACTCACAGTGAGGCTTAACTTGACCAGTGAGATTATTTCTGCCTCCAGGACAGCTCTGAGAATAACACAAATTTGTCTTCTGTAAAAGATTCTTGGAAGGTCATTTCTTGGGCGCGACTGCAGTCTCAGTTACAACATACGAGTCGAGCAGTTTGTAACACCACTGTTTGGGGTTCTTGCACCTTTTTATCCTGGTCATTATAGACTGTATATAAAAGGCAGACTCTGAAACTGAAGCCAGACTGCATTCCTTCTAATGACCAGCAGGGGGGGTTAGAAGGAAGTCAGATTGTAAAGAAACCTAGAAGACTATTGTCTATTATAAGGCTACGTCCACACGTACCCGGGTATTTTTGAAAACGCAGATTTTTCTATGCGTTTGCACCTTTCGTCCACACGTAAACGGCGTTTTTGGTCACTGAAAACTGAGATTTTACAAACTCCGGCCAGGGTGGATATTTTTGAAAACTCCGTTTTTGCATTTACGTGTGGACGAGAAAAACAGAGAAAAAGACGTTTTCTGCAGCGTCAAAGACACGTTTGACGCTGCAGAAAACGCAGCATCAAAGGTATGAGCCTTTTTTGACGTCACACTGTGCACCACGTTATTGTTTCGGTGAAATGAATTTCTACAATACTGTTACTGTTAATTGTACTCTCTGCAGTGTTTAAATGCTTACATATACACACACAGTTACTGTCCCTCCACACATACGACTCAGTTCTGCTTCTATGCCCCAGCTTTGTTTACTTTTTCCCACCGAGGCTTCTAGACTTCTGATTGGCCAACATTTCTACACGAATAGGAATATATCACCACCTGCTGCTTTGGCATGTTCCTAGCAGCGTTTTCCTTCATTTCTGCCTTTACGTGTGGACGGGATTATTTTTTAAAACGAAAACAGAAAATCTCCGTTTTCAAAAATACCCGTGTACGTGTGGACGTAGCCTAAGTCTATAGTGACAAAGGGAGAGACACTAAAGTGGGAATTAAACATTCGTATCACTGCTATTCTCAGAGCTGTATACACCACCACGAAGAAAAGCATTGTTAGTTCTGATGCACGCAAACAGACCCTGACCCCTCACTGCACACTTATCTAAATGAGGCACATACAGTGTTTTCTTTTTCTTTTTTATTATTATCATAATTATCCAATTTTATTTTAGGTTCACATTTTACACGAGAAGCTGGACTTCAGTCATATTCAGCCAAAGTGTGGCTCCAAGGATAATCTGAAGCACTCGCCCAAAGGAGGCAATGTATGTACACCTTTCTCTCTCTCTTTTTTCTCTCTTTCTCTTATTTCTCTTTTTCCTCAGCTGGGGCTGTTGTAGCACTCTGTCATGCTACTATTATGTGTTCACGCGTCTGTCATCTGTCCGTCTGCTAATACATTGTTTCGGACAAGCAAAAGAGAACGGGTTTATTTCCAAAGGTGTAGCACGCCCATGTTACTTTTTGTCAGTTAGCCCTGTTTAGTGTTTAGTGTATAACAAGAAAGTTAGCATAGACTGGAAACTGGGGTGGAGGTGGGTTGCAAAGCAGCTTGCAGAGCTAGCTGTTGGTGGAAGGTTTGATTTTTCTTTAATTTTTAAAAATTGTGGATGTTGTACACTTTGAAGTAAACTCTTTCGTGCGCTTCACGTTTGAGACTTGGTGCTAAACAGGGCCTTGATTTCCGCATAGGCTTCAACCCATTTCATGCAGTCTGAATTCAAGCGCACTCGAGTTAAAGTGGGCATTGACAGACTGATGTAAACCTGGGACGCCTCTAAAGGATTATTTTAAGCAGGAAAGTAGGAAGGGTTTTTTTTTTATTAAGCCCCTCGACTCCACGGCTGTGTGAGAGACCCTGTGTGTTCTGTCTGTTTGTTTGTTTTTTTAAAGAAAAAAGTCAACCTGTCATCCGCAGGTCATGATTCCAAGCGTTAAGCTGGACTTTAGCCACGTTAAGTCTAAATGTGGCTCCCTGGACAAAATCCAGCACGCGGCAGGCGGGGGAAACGTGAGTGACTTAGCAGAAAATCATCTCATCCAAGATTTGTCGTTCTTGATAACACTTCACATTAAGATGTGTGTGAGCCGTCCTCGTGGAGTGTGTTCGTCTTCATTAGCTGTATTTTGTGTCTCAGAAACAAAAACATTTACAATTGTATAATCTTTGTGCATTCACCTGGGCCACAACATACAGCATGTCTGCATAGTGCATATATTTCATAACATAAACCAGTTCCCTCTGCAGCCTGCAAGGCTGTCAGTTTCTCTTGTTTACAATGCTCGCACTAATTCACATCACCCATGGACAATAAAGTTTAATTGAAGCACCTGCTCCCCGTAGCGTCACACAGTAGCGCCCGTGTTCTGTGTTTGTTTGATGTCTGCACCGTCACTGCTTGCGTTCATGTTAACCTCCCCTCCAGGGATCTAACATCAGCCTCTCTGTGGCTTTTCTGTGGACTGCGGTTGATTGACTCACGCCGCCTTCGTCTAGAGATTCATGTCATCTCACCACGTCCATTTTCTCTCTTTTTGAAACCTGTCGCTTTCATTTCATTGCATTTCATGCCTGTTATTTGTGGTTTATTCACATTCAAAGCAATTAAAGGTGAATTTGTGCAATGTGCCACTGCTCGCAGGTCCAAATCCAGACGAAGAAGATCGACCTGAGCCATGTCACCGCTAAATGTGGCTCCTTTTCCAACATCCACCACAGACCAGGTACTGTACAGCCACAGCTGGCCTTTTAGAAAAACTTAGAGAATTACATTAATTGTACAATGTATTTAAGAGCCTTTTCTTAAAGGAATTCTGAGACTAGTTGTCATTACCACATCTTTAATTGTCCTTGTTGAAAGAAGTTACTCGTACTATAAACTTTTAAAAACATTGGTGATATATATTCTTTATGTATATCTCACTGTAATCCACGAAATCTCCAGTTGAGCAAAAAATCCTTAGGCCCCCAATGGTTCTTATCTATATCTCAGACAATGACCATCATCATGTTGCCTAGCAACCACCTACCAACGAGTTAAAATGGCCCATTTGCAGCGTTTATGCACCTATGACTCCTTATAAAAGCTTTGTATTATTTTAATTTAGTGGCAAAAACATCTCATTTATATCCACAGCAGTTGAATTATGCATGCAACTTATGATGTCTAAATGCTGCTTTGCAACTATCTAACAACACACTAAAATCGCAGACCAAACAATACTCCAGCATGCATTTAACTAGTATATATGATGTATGAAAAAAAGGAAGGCAACCTACTTGTACAAAGTATGTAAGGCTCTCTTCTTAAAGGAATGCTAAGACTAGTTGCTATTAGCTGATTTTGATTTGTCCTTATGGATATAAATGATTTTTGTGCCATTTAGAGCGTAACAAATGCTGTGTTTTATAGTAAATGTTGATATGGATCATTAAAACCTTCCAGTATTGATATATGTACCAATTCTTTTTATGTATATCCACTGTAATCCATGAAACCTCCAGCTGAGCAAACAAACCCGGTCCCTGATTGTTCTTATCTATAGCACATCATCACATTGCCTAGCAACCTCCGACCAGCAAGCAAAAATGGCCCATTTGTAGTATGCAACGAAAACTCCTTATAAAAGCATTGTATCGTTTTAATTTCAGGACTGTACGCTCTCATTTATATCCACATGAGTTGGATTATGCATGGTATATACTAATGTCTTTGTTGCCTAACAACCACCAAGCAACAAACTAAAATCCCAAACAATGCTGTAACATTTTTAAAAAAGGGCAACCAGCAAAGTACTCCATAACTAAATTTGATGAGTGTATTTAGACATTGACAACTCATCGAGTACATCAGATCTGGATGCTAATTTCTTTTGTGCTTTTATTTTCTTGATTTAGGAAATTTGAAGTCTTAAGAATCAAATGTTGCTGTCAATTCTGTGGGGAGTTGTAGAGAAATACCGATGGAGTTTGTTGTCCAACTGATGTAGAACAAAGCACCAGGATTAGAGTTTCTTCTATTTTGGTAGTTTTTCACTGAAACGCTACAAATGTTTGTGCAGCACACATACTCCTCCACAAATTTCTGGGCTGACTGAAGGTGGTTGGAAGGTTTTATCATGTTGCCCAATCCTATTAGGAACTCAATGTGAAGACGCTGCTTGATTCCACACAACTATCAGCTGTGCTGCTGCTCTGCTACATGTGCTGCAGGCAGCCCGGATGGAGTCAGAGCTGCTCTGCTGGACAAACTATGACGATTTCTAAATGATCCCAAACGTCTTTTACCACATTACACAATTATAAGACGATTTAAGCCACTGTCACACAGCATGAAAATTTATTTTACTCTTTTAGCAGTTGGAGAATGCAGTTGGTCACCATCCATTTTATAATAGAGGCAGATCCACATATCGTTATTTTATATTACATGCTTGTCTTTAACTTACAGTGCAACACATAGTTCAGTGGCTGAGGGTTGCACAAAAGAAGTCAGAAATTCCACGTAGATCAACATAAAGATGTCAAACTGTTTGTCATATTTTTTTTTTTTTTTAAACAAGGCCCAATAACACCAGTCTTTGAGCAAAAGTCTGTTCTTGTCAAATTAGTTTTGATTTAACATATGTAACAAAACATATGTATTTCCTTTAATCGTAGCAATAATCTGATTGATATTTCTTAATTTCATCTGTCATCTGTCCACTTACAGCTTCAGTTTTGCCCCCATAATGTCACCATTTCAATGATAGAAAGTGTCAAAGCAGGAAATTGAGTATCGCATCCAGTCTTACATGGTACTATATAAACTGTATAAAGCAGGTCAAAGCTGGCATTTGTGCCTTTTTCAGGCTGTGCAGTGTGCAGATTGAGATTTTTTTTTTGCCCTGAGCATTGCCTAGGAGAAGTGATGTCCTGTAGGCGAGCGATTCCTCGTGGGTTTAACACTTCTCTTCTCCTCCTTGCTGTCCTGTTCCCAGGGGGAGGACAAGTGCGTATCGACAATGTGAAGCTGGACTTCAAAGAGAAGGCCCACGCCAAGGTCGGCTCTCTGGAGAACGCCAGCCACACTCCTGGAGGCGGGAACATCATGGTAAAAGGAAGCCTCTTTTTATACCAAATGTCACTGTCAGTTCACATTAAAGAGGAAAAAGAGCGCTGACCTAAACCGTCTTCCCCTGCTCACCAGATTGAGAGCCACAAGCTGAATTTCCGGGATTCGGCCAAAGCTCGGGTGGACCACGGTGCGGAAATCATCGTCACCCACTCCCCTGGCATCGAGACGGGAGGCACCTCTCCTCGCCTGTCCTCCTCCGGCAGCATCAACCTCCTGGAGTCGCCCCAGCTCTCCACGCTGGCCCAGGATGTGACCGCTGCCCTGGCCAAGCAGGGCTTATGAGCCAGCTGCCTCTGCTTAGGAAAAATACAAATCCACACCATCACCCCTCCTTTTCCCATCGTTCCCATCACAAGCTTCCAGTGTTTAACGTAACCCCCACAGTTGTAGCTGGTTGACCGTCTCATCCAATCAACGATCCCTCCGGCCCTTCCAAGCGGGATTTAAAAAAACTGAATTCTTCATAAATCTTCATCGACACTCCCCGTCTGTCGGTCTGCTTTTTATCTTCTCATTCACTCAAACGTGGACTGTTCTGTTTTAGATAAGCTGAATGCCAAGGTTCAAGTGGTTCAAGAAGGTGGTTTTATGATTGTACAGGATTTTTCTTTGGTCCTTTTTCTGTTCATCTTTACTTCTTTTTCTTTGGTGCGTTGAAAAACACCAACACATTCCCACTCGCACGGGGCTAAAAATTTCAAGTTGGACCGTGACGTCCATTCAGAATTTATACGGTACTGAATGCAAGATATAGCTACTACACAGTAGGTGCTAGTCTTAAAGATAAGCGAGAGACTTAACTGACCTGCAAAAGAATGGCTGATGAGCATGTCTGCAAAAAAACAACATAAAAAAGAAAAGTGTGTGACATGAACTTTTCTTTGTTGCGTTTGTTGGATTTCCTGAATTGTGCTGAATTGTTGGACAAACTTGTGTTCTCTTGTTTTCTTTTTATATATAAATATATAAAAAATATATGTCACTGTAGTTGGAAGTATTTACAGTTTTGTACGTTCCCTGTGGCTGCTCTGGCTTATTAGCATTTAAATGTGGATAACCATTGCAGCTCTGTCGAGTCGGGCGCTAAAAGGCTAGCTTTCCAATAGATTTTTGTGTTTTAGTTTCTTCTCTCGTCAGCCGTCGGGCTGCGCCGCCCCGTCCACCCTCTCTTCTTTTTATTTTCTGGTTTTACATTAGCGCTGTGGTTTTTATTAGGCTACAACAATGCTGTTATGCTGGCATGGCAAATAAATGATAAATAAATTAGATCTATTTGGAGCGATCTTCGACTTTTCTGTGTGGGTGTAAAATGGCCTGGGTGCATTCTGGCACACAGGCCCCTGTAACCTTGCTCCTTTTGCAAAGACTGGGTTGTGTAGTGTATTTGAGTGGGTAAAAGTCCCGAATTTTGTTTTAAAAAGTGTTAAGTGTAAGGCTTTATATGAAAACATTCCATTTGAAAGAAGTTTTTGAACGTTTGCAGAGATGAAGAAGGTGAAGAATGGGAATAATACCCCACAAACGCAGCTTTTAGAAGTTTTTTTTAAAAAAAAAGAATAGAAAAATGTTCTAGCATATTCTCTGCTCACCATTATGAGACTCCTCCGCCCCACCTCCCTTCCTGATGTCGCCTACCCTTCCAGTGTTTTTCTGTGCTTCCTATATCCCTCCCCCTCTTTGCCTGTGTAAGTGTATTTAAAAAAAAAAAGATTTAAAAAAATTGTAGATGTGTGCACACTTTCCGGTGTTTGAGACGTACTGATGACAAAATGCTCCTACAGGATGATGGCAACAACAAAAATAAAGAAATAAAAGAAATAAAAAAACTGGTTCATTCTAGTCTTGTGGATCAATTCTTTGAAAATACTCGTCTTTTTGTGAAAAACACGTCAACCTGCATGTTTGGCGTGCCTGTTTGGTCATCATCAGCACGTGTTTTGAAGGCTAAATAAAAATGTCATTATTATTCATTAAACAGGAGGCATTGCTGGCTTTACTATAGTCATTTGAAGTTTGTATATTTGACAGACAAACGCTTTAAAACCTGTTATTATTTTCTATAGTTCTGCATAAAGTTGATAATGGCGGGTAAAACATAAGGCATGGGGGCCAGAATTGACCCAACAAACATTGGCCCTGTGGACAGCTTTGGGAAATGTGAAGGAGAGGATAAACTTTGGAATTTTGACTGTATTTTCACAGATTTTGTAGCTTTTCTTTCTGTTTAAACACCTCCACAGTTGTTCATACTGTGCCAAAGAACAACAAAGTAATTAAGTGATAGATAAACAATTAAATAACAGCAACCTTTCCCTTTTTTCATTACTACACACATTTTTTTTTTACTTAATGACTTGGTTAGTTTGGCAAAACAGTGATTTAAAAACAGACATTTTTCGTGAATTAACAAAAACTTTCAGTTTTATTATTACATGAATTTTTTCTGTAATTTTAAACATTAATATGTTTTAGTTTATGCTCAACGAAGCGCCATGACAGATTTCTTTAGCTTACTAGAGAAGCATTTCTTTTTTGGGCTCTAATGAAAGTTATAGTGGGACAAATGCAATTTTTGCAGACTTGCTTCTGTACACCAGTGCAGCTTTTAATTCAAGAGGGTTAACAAAAATGTATGTATGATTTAAGAGTTACAGTCATTTTTGTACACTATCCCATTTTCAGAAGCTCTAAATCAATTAGACAATTGACTGACAGGCAGTTTGATGGCCAGATTAGGACTGTTCCCTTCTTCCATGACAAATGAAGCAGATAAAATATCTGAAGTTGATTCCAGTCCAATTTCATAGCTTCTTACTTAAATATTAGGGTCAAAGAAATGTTAACAT